CACCTTCTCGTCGCGTAACACATAACACACATAAACGGTTTTCAACATTCACCGTCCGGCGAACGGTTGCGACTGCGTAAAGATAACAACATAACATGATACAAAAATAATAACAATTCGTTATCGGGACTGTGGTCGGGTACTTACCTGAGTAGGGGGCGGTCGTAGGTACAGGAGCGCGAACAAAACGACAGCTATTGTCGACATGTTATTATCGCACGCAGTGCCCGTGGAATTTAATTAATAATATTGTGCTGTATTTCTGACAACGATGAAACGACGACCGAAGAGACAGACGTACACGCGGGAAAGAAGAAGAGTGCCGAGCGGAGGCGACCGGCACAATGAACGCGAAGATTATTGTACTACGCACGAACCGCAGTGTTTGGGGAGACAACAACGACGACGGTCCGAACCGGTCCTCGGTGGAGATACGAACCATGGTGACGCGTGCGTGTGTTCTTTGCGCGACAAGTGCCGCTATCTAACGACAGGTGTACCGGCAAATGATTATCGCAAAGATGCATGCGGTTGCAGCGCAGCGCAATCGTCGTAATCACGCAATCTTACAATTACTATAGTCGGCGAATAAAAAAAAACAATTATTGAATTATCATTAAAACACTCCCCGCTGTACGGTACTCGCGTCCTTGAGTTAATACCATCATAACGACTGGTGCACGTTTTTTTCACGCACATATTGTAAAAAACAAACTATATGCGAACCATAGGCGTAAGTGGACAACCTTTTTTTTTTGTGGAGTGTCCGGTCCATTATATTTTATAATCGAAGTTTTATTTTAAAATAAAAGTCGTTAGCAAATACATTAACAACATCATCGTCAATTTTGTTCGAGATCACTCTCTCTATGTATAAATTATGCTTAATGCCGGAGAATCGAATTTGATTTGTGGTGGAGGAAAGCTTTTCTGGGGGTCTAAACCTATCTATTTGTGTCTATAAAATGAACAATGTCAATCATTATGTTAAACAAATTTTTATTCTTCTCGGTTCTCGTTCGACAACACATGTAAAATAATAATATGTAAGACCACATTTTGATAAGGCCCTTACCTAGGGTGGAATATTTTTGAAATTGAACGGATCATTTTTTTATCATATTAATTATTCAATATTAAAGGCGACACTTTTGCTGAATCTGGCTCTGATAATATAGTCAACAATCATGAAAATGAAACGATTAATTGAATGATTTTTGTATTTTTATTTCTCTCTGAGCTTAAAGGTCGCTGCCGAATATGATATATAATTTTCAAATAATTGACAACCTTTGCTTATCAGTCAATCCATTCTCTTTTAGTTGCTTTATGCCTTTGTATATTCTTGCTCGCCTCTTTGTCTAAATATACAATAAAACCCTACTTAGTTAATAACATTTCAATAAATAACAGTTTGTGCTTCTGTATCGTATCTTCCCATATCCTGAAACAATGAACGTTATACTATGTTAAACACACGTAAACACTTGCTATAATTAATATTTTATCTTCTCGAGAATCGTTACCAACATTCTATCGTAACCTCAAGGACCGTAGTAAGGGGGAGCTAGAGGTGTCTACACCCTGGGCTCAATTCTTAGGAGGGCCAAATTTTATTAATATTATTTAAAAAAAATAATATTATGAACTTATTTATTTATGTATTAACTTATATACCTTATAAATATAATTATGTTATACCTATGTACTTACTTATAATACTAATGTATATTTATATTTTAATAAGTTATTGATTTAAATAAAATTAACAAACGCTTACATAATGATAAAAAAATGTATTATTTATATTGCGTTTATAAAAAATATTCAGTTTTTTTGTAAATTAAAATACTTAAGGACGCATTTTGAAGTTTCACCCAGGACGCAATATTTGGTTGTTACGGCCCTGCCAACTGTGGAGTTTCCAGCATAATTTCAGCTCCAACAAAACTATTCCCTTAATTTTTCGAACGATGTTTTTTCGATAAAAATACTATTTACAAATTATAATAATAATTTACAATTTCATCAATTTTTTTTCACGCGGTGTTATTTCTATAAAGTTCAGCATCATTAAAGTAAAATTTTAATATTTCATTCACTATGCTCAACGAATTATGTGTATGCAACGTTATTCTTCGGAAATTCTAAAAAAAATACATGTTTCATATAGGTAAAAAAAAAATAGGAAAAAATACCCATGAAAAATATGTGTAATGGTATTTTTTTCTTAGAAAAAATATTTAAAGAAAATTTACCAGTACAGTTTATACATGCACATAGACCTACGTGATTTGTATACTTTGACCATATACATAAATTAAATAGATTTAATCTATACGTATACTTATTTTTGCGATGTAAATGTGACAATCGAAAAAAGTAAAATTATAATAATTCATTTATTCAATTGAATATCCCAACCTTTCAAAGACTTATTCGACTTGAAAGTTAATAAATTCTAAATAATCAGAAGAAAAACATATTACATAATAATCATAATTTAAATAGAGCGGCTATTTGCGTATCAAAACAACAATATCTCATAAAGAAATATGTAATAAAATGTTAAGGTTTTCTTCAAGCATATAATCTAATAATTATACATGTACATAACTAGATATATATTACGAAGGGTGTAACCTCTAAAACATTTATGATATAATATAGGCTTTATTATTAAGTGCTACTGTAATGTACTAGTTTTTTTAAAACATCGATTTATAAATATTATCTTCTTTTGCAGGAATTTATTACTCGTGAAGAGTTTTTGCCGTCATCACGATCTGCTTCCATTCTTCCCTGTTATGAACTATTGTTCTCCACTCTTGTATTCCTCTTTTTTTGAGATCTTCTTCCACTGTATAAACCATCTCGTCTAGACCGTTCGCGAGGATTCTTCACTGTAGGCATCCATTCCAGCAACACTCTAACCGTATCTTCCTCATTTCTGCGTATTACGTGACCAAGCCATTGTATTCGCTGGCCACTTATGAATCTACTGACTGGTGCCAGTCTCAGCTCATTCTGTAGTTTCCGATTAAATTGTCTTCTCCACTCGCCTGTTCTATTATTATAGACAGGGCCGCGAATTATTCCCCATACTTTATTTCTCAAACATCCTTATTCTCCTTTCTGTATTAATAGTGGCTGTCCAGGTTTCGTATCGTAGGTTAACGTGGGTCTTATTATCGCCGTGTACAACCTTCCTTTTGTTTTCTTTGATAATAATTTTGATTTCAGAAACTTACTAAGTGCGAATGAAGCACTTTCGGTCTTTGTTATAATTATTCCAATCTCTCTTGACTAATCATTCTTGACACTCAGCATGGCTCCTAAGTACTGAAACTCTTATAAATAATATACCTATAATTATTTTCATTGTAATCGTTAATTTGAATTATGTATATTGCACATCTAGATGTTAAATATATTAATTTTGATTTTAATTATTAATATTTTATGTTATATCAATATATTATAATACTAATTATAATTTATATTAGTTATAATATTTAAAGAACTACCCGTTATTATTCACCCTAAGGTTAGACATAAATTGAATATGTAATTATAAAACATTTTCAGGCAATAGTGAGATTAATGAATTCATTGTAACCAAAAATCGCACATATTAGACGAAATAGGTATACTTTAAGCTTCCATAAATGTTGTCGATAAATGATTCTATATCCTTTAATACTTCAAAAAGTATATGAAATAAGTTAAATAGTAAGATTAAATTTAAAAAGGCGAAAACAATGAAATTTAATAAAAATAATATTTTTAACTTATTCTTATTTTCTCTACTGTTGAATAATGATTTAAAAACTCGTACTTTGATTTGTGTATAAAAATACCGTCAGCCAGAAATTAAATACATTTAATTATAAATTATTTTTAATCTATGCGTTAGCTAAGTACGCTCGTTGTAATAATTGAATGAGAATTCAATTTTTTTTTACACGCCATAATTATAATTTGTTTTTTTTTTGATAATAAAAATCATTTTTACGATTAGCTGATAATTCAATATCGCAGTAGTATATTTTTTCATAATATCTTCCAACAGTGGCGTATATAGGTTTTCATTTCAGAGGGGTCCGATTATATATTTGATTTTTGGATGAAAGGGAAGGAGGAAACACACTATTACGAAAAAATTACTTCAACACTATAAAACTTCTCGACTGTCTTTACACCATCAGAGAAATAAGAAACTCAATTTTTTTAATGATTTATTATTTTTTAAAAGTATAAAAACTAAATTGTAAAAAAACATTTTTTTATTATAGTCACTTAAAATTCACCACATATTTTCTTAAAAGAATAAACATATTTTATAAATATAAAATTTTAAATTATCGCATGAGCAACATTCTCAGTGTCTCGACAAATTTTCGGAAACCTCTAGCATTAAGACATATCCATGTTAAAAATAACAATCTTTAGCAATGGTATTTTTCATTTCGGAGGGGGCTCGGGCCTCCTCCTCCCATAAGTACGCCCCTGTCTTCCAAACATATTTTCCTTAAATTATACACCTATTTAACTATTATTTTTCATGTGGCTCCATGATTATTATTAGATGAATTATATTTGAATTAATGAGTTATATTTTGAATTCGTATATTTAGTATACCCAAGGTATGTGTTCTTGTCGTCGAGGTATTCTTATTTTCATTGTAAGAGTTGAAACTGTAGACGTGAATATTTTATAAAACATCATTATATCTTGTATTATCTATAAGACATCGAAATACTACTATACATACGAGTAAATAATAACTCAAAACATGAGAAAAAAAATCAATCATTTTAAGCACACAAAATGTTGATTAAATATCGATCCCATACACACGTAGCACATTTACACACCATCTGATACCGATTGGAACTAACAGAACTTTCACTCATTTTGTAATAGATTTATCAGATATTCTAATCTGTAAATGGAAACCCTGAGAGTTGTGTGTAGTAATTTACTTTACAATAAGCGAAACTGTGATAAAGTGTGCGGTTTACATCCAAGAACATTGTTGAAAAAATCGAAAACAAAATTATGCGGTTTTTTAATAAAACCGAGTCATCGTATTAAAAATAATAACCATCATCATTTGGTGAAATACATTATTCATACAAACATTGAATATGTTATACTATATATTAATAAAAAATAAATCATAAATATTTATGATAATAATCAATTTCGTTATATTTCAACCTTTTTTTATTAACTTTTATTAAAAAAAGTTTTGATTAGGAAAAATCTTTTAATTTTTGAACACAATAAGTTAAATAATTATACATACATTATAAATAATAATAAAATATAATAGTATGTGTATATTAATATATACTAAGTAATAAAGTAATAAATCTCGTCCATATTTTTCATTCCCTTTAAATGTTATTAATTCATCTGTTCCAGTTTATCAATGTGAATACTTATTTTTT